TTTTGCTATTTCAATGCAACATGCCACAAAAAATGACTTATATAAAATCTTGGAATTATTACATGCTACGAATGATATGCAAGAGCAAGTTAAATTATTTTCTATCTTAGCCGCCTATACGGTATCAAATGTAATCATAACATAGTACCTACTTTTGACAAAATCGTTTACAAAGTATTATTTGAAATTTAACAAAAATGTAGGTTTAACATTATTAAAAATACTGATAGTTATGTATATCCAGCGATGCCGATGGGCTTAAGAGGCTGAATAAATGTGGAGAACACAACCAAAAATGGGATGATATATAATATGAAATAGTGTTCTTTGCTATAATTAAACACTTTTTTTGTAATTATTACAGGGTGCTCATAGTGATGTAATAATAAAATTTAATCCTTTATATGATAAGATATGCGCGGTGTTGTCAAGAGGCTTGCCTCTAAAGATCAATGTTACTCTTAATTTTCTTTCCGCACTCTTATACACCGACAACGAAGGCGATTCCACAAAGCGAAGTACTATCGTCGTATACGCACGAAATATGATTCGAGCTAGTGGCTGTCTAACCTCAATGTCTAATCTCTTCACCAATTGTATGCTGGTAAGTTTATTACTTTATGATGTTTTTTATAGCACCCTAGTTTAATATATTATATATATTAACATTTGATAAGCAAAGATTATGGTTTTCCAGGTTTAATGTCTGTTATATACTCCAAGGTATCATTAAAGAGTTTTCACATTTATCGACGCGGAATCGGCTTAAGCCGAGTGCGTATCACACTACTCGGTTTAACGCTGGTCAGCTGTTGCAGCGGCTATTCACAAGTGATCGCCAATCGACTTTTTCGGATGGTAACCGCGATAGCTGTTCACATTCATTTGGCAGTCGACTCATCGTTCATCATTCGACTGTTGTCCAACGCCGTTCGGCCGTCTTCTGCATCGTTAGGCTGCCTTCAGCGGATCATTTTAACGCTTTTTGGCAGTCTCCGGCGCCGTTCGGCTGCCTTCGGAAACTTAAACATGTCGACGTGCGCATTCGGCTACTTTCAGCGCTGTACGGATGCGAACAGCTAATCGGCAAATCGCTCGTCGTTTTGCTGTCGGCTGACATCGCGTCGCATGACATCCGTACCGATCCGATGAGAATGTCATTAGCAAAGCTCGCATTTTGTAGACAAGGTTTTTTGACCGGCTAATCTCTATTATCTTGATGTTAGTGCTGTTAGTCTATGCGACTCCTACAGATTCATCTTGTCTCAGGGCTCGCGGCCTGCAAGGCCGCGAGCTAGACCGGCTAAATCTGATTCCGCGTCAATAAATGTGGGGACTCCCTGCTCCCTTATCCTTAACGTCCGTGTTAACGTTCATCGGTTAACGTCCGTGATTGAATACTACTTACTACTTCCCTCTTTCGCACTCAGACACAGAACAATCTTCTCCTAACATTGCATCGAATAGATACGTGTCGAAGTTTAGGTATATATGTATATACCTGTGTTAGTTTTATTATTTATTCTGTGCCTGTGTGGCCTTTGCGTTATTATGTCGCCTCTACACGTTGGCCAACACAGTGGCGAATGTAGTGGCGAATATATTGGCCGAGAGTTGGTGACGGCGTCCACACGTTGGATGGTCGTTCAGTTTACTTCGGTTCGGGCCAATGTGCGGACGAATTTATTTTATTTTAGACGACGGCTCCGTAGCGCAGTGGCTTAGCAATGAGTGGCTGTGCCAGGGGCCGCGGGTTTGAATCCCGCACGGAACAAGTATTTGTATATCCTACAAATAATTGTTTCGGGTCTGGATGTGTGTCCTTGTGCAATTTGTAAGTTGCCTCCGCGACACAGGAGAAAATCCAAGTGTGGGGGGTAACGTTTTTATAAAAGAATAGTGAATATTAATGGGGCTGTAAATAGATATACGATATACGATTAGCTTTATTTATTCTTTACATGCATCAGAAACTTGAATAAATACCATTAATAAGAACTTAACTTATTTTAAAGTTAAAGGAGTTATAATCGATTAGCCTATGTTTTAAAATTGCGTTTTGTTTTTAACGTTTAGCAAAACATGTACTTGCTTTTCTATCAGACATTTGATGTATATAGAAAACACCTTATTATTTATTTGGTAATTTCATTATTTTTTGAGAAAGACAAAAACATTAGCAATAAATATAATTAACACTGACTTAATAATAGGTACTAATTATAACTTAGAACATAAATGAAAAACTCATGACAAGGAAAGTGGCTCAGGACCATGCTTTGCGGCATTCTTTGGAGGAGGATGTTCAGTCGTGGACTTGTGAAGAGCTGTAATGATGATGATGACAAACGAGCACATAGTTCACCTGATGGTAAGTGGTTACTGTGGCCCACAGACATCTACATCTATCCTCGATTACGAATCAAAATGCAGATGCGTTGTCACCCGTGAAGACTAAGATGAAATGCCTCGTTTCCTTTAAAAAGTGTCTCTGGTTCTCTACACTCACTATACGAAACACAGTCATCAAGCTACTATTTTACATTGATATTCTGTGAGAGCGTGGTCCTTCCCCGGTCGAACCGACCCATTCGTGCTACAACTATACTTCTAATATTTTTTATTTTATTTTAAAATTGTTCCGTAATAATCTGATTGTAAATAAATGTTAATTATTTTTTTATAAATAGCTTATCGATTAAAACAAATGTTTAAATCGCGCTAATTAAAGTAGTAGGAATGTTTAAAGTTGAAATTGGCACTAAAAGGCTGGTAATTGGGTCATCCACCCTACAAAGCGTGAATATAAAATTTTAATCAGATGCGTGTAATCACTCTGGGAGCTTGTAGCAAACTAAACTCGCGGCCAACGTGTGGACGCGGCGACCAAACTCTGCCAACAATCCTTTGATCTTTTGTAAAAAACCGACACCACACGGATCTCGCGCCAACTTGCGGGCCATCGTTCCAATACATACCAATGAAGCCCAAACACCCCGTCTACACGTTGGCCAATGCTATTGGCCACTACATTCGCCACTGTGTTGGACAACGTGTAGAGGAGGTGTTTGGGCTTCATTGATATGTATTGGAACGATGGCCCACAACTTGGCGCGAGATCCGTGTGGTGTCGGTTTTTTACAAAAGATCAAAGGATTGTTGGCAGAGTTTGGTCGCCGCGTCCACACGTTGGCCGCGAGTTTAGTTTGCTACAAGCTCCCAAAGTGATTACACGCATCTGATTTAAATTTTATATAAAGTTTTGTAGGGTGGATGCCCCAATTACCAGCCTTTTAGTGCCAATTTCAACTTTAAACATTCCTACTACTTTAATTAGCGCGATTTAATTATTTTTAAAATTCGATAAGGCGTAAAAAAAAAATAACGAACAATTTTAAAATGAAAAAAAAATGAAGCACGTCGTTTATACGTGGTAGAACCATGCAGTTATATTAGAAATATAGTTGTAGCACGAATGGGTCGGCTCAACCGGGGAACGACCACGCTCTCACAGAATATCAGCCAAAAATAGTAGCTTAATGATGCTGTGTTTCGTATAGTGAGTGTAGAGAACCAGAGACCCTTTTAAAAGGAAACGAGGCATTTCATCTTAGTCCTCACGGGTGACAACGCATCTGCATTTTGATTCGTAATCGAGGATAGATGTAGATGTCTGTGGGCCACAGTAACCACTTACCATCAGGTGACCTGTGTGCTCGTTTGTCACCCTATCCTATAAAAAAACGTCGATTTCTTATAATTTAATCGTGCAAGTTTTCGAATCATCATCATCATTACAGCTGTTCACAAGTCCACTACTGAACATCCTCCTCCACAGACTGCCGCAAAGCATGGTACTGAGCCACTTTGCTCGTCATGAGTTTTTCATTTATGTTCTAAGTTATAATTAGTACCTATTATTAAGTCAGTGTTAATTATATTTATTGCTATTGTTTTTGTCTCTAAAATTGAAATTACAAAAAGGTGTTTTATATACATCAAATGTCTGATAGAAAAACAAGTACATGTTTTGCTAAACTTTAAAATCAAAACCCAATTTTAATATAATAAGTTAAGTTCTTATTAATGGTATTTATTCCAGTTTATGATGCATGTAAAGAATAAATAAAGCTAATTGTATATCGTACATCTATTTACAGTCCCATTAATATCCACTATTCTTTTATAATTATTTTATAAAAACGTTACCCCCATACTTGGATTTTCTCCTGCATCGCGGAGGCAGCTTACAAACATAAATTGCACAAGGACACACATCCAGACCCGAAACAATTATTTGTAGGATATACAAGTATGTTTGCGTGATTCAAACCCGCGGCCCCTGGCACAGCCACTCATTGCTAAGCCACTGCGCCACGGAGCCGTCGTCTAAAATAAAATAAATTCGTCCGCACATTGGCCCGAACCGAAGTAAACTAAACGACATTCCAACATGTGGACGCCGTCACCAACTCTCAGCCAATATATTCGCCACTACATTCGCCACTGCGTTGGCCAACGTGTAGAGGCGCCGTTACATATGGAGAGGACTATGCTCGGAGTTTCTCTGCGTGATAGACTCAGAAATGAGGATATCCGCAGTAAAACCAGAGTGACCGACATAGTCCAACGGATTAGTAAGCTGAAGTGGCAATGGGCCGGCCATATAGCTCGAAGAACCGATAACCGATGGGGAAGAAAGGTTCTCGAGTGGCAGCCTCGTACCGGTAGGCGTAGTGTAGGGTGACACCCTACTAGATGGAGTGACGACCTGGTAAGATATGCAGGAAGTCGATGGATGCAGGTGGCTCAGGACCTCGCTTTGTGGCATTACTTGGGGGAGGCCTATGTTCAGCAGTGGACTTGTGAAGGGCTGTAATGATGATGAATGATGATGTTTCAAGTATCAAAATACCAAAGTGTTAGTATTATTATTTATTCTGTGCCTGTGTGACCTTTGCGTTGAGTGACATATTATGTAATATAGGATCATATTTAGAATGGTAGCTACTAATATTACTACTATTTTTATAATAAAAAGGGTTAGTTATGAATAATGATGTTTCAAGTATCAAAATACCAAAATAGGGAAATCCAGAAATACTTTCTTTTATAACTTTAATGACAAAAATTTAAGAAGACCTTAGTTAAACATAAAAAAGGCTAAGCTGTTAACTGAACGGCTAATTAAGCTCGTTGGCTGCAGAAAGCTTGTACTATTGTTCATTAAACTTTGGAAAACACCATCAAATTTGTTGTTTACCGACGGCATATTGACAGTTTGGAGAGTTTCAACTATGGAATGTAGAAGTAGTTTCAGCGCTAGGTGGCAGAAAGTGGGACTAATTAAAATGAACAGGCTAGGCAAGTAATGAAACGTCATCGATCCAAGTCATTTGCCTAGCTGTTTGATCAAAAAGCTGAATATCATTCAGGCCGCTAGTTGAACGGCCCTGTTTTGTAAAGAGGCTAGTCTGTTGATTAAACGGCTAATTGAGCAGTTGGAGGCATCTATTCACCTCAGACGTGGTGGATAATCGGAATTCACTTTTGATTTTTCTTCCGACTTCTTATCCCAAGTACAGTTTAATAATAAATATACTCATACATTTTAATTATTAATTAATTTTTAATAACCACATACTTAAACAAAATCATATGACATTGTAACGCACCCACCATTCTCTTCTTCATTCTTATTATAGATATTATATATATTATTTCCCTTTTTATATAAAATGTGTACTGTATATGTGACCAGGATAAATAAATATGTTTTGATCTTTCTAAATGTTTAGCAATAGGCCGTTTGTAATATTTATGGCGTGATTGTCTTTTACGTTGTGTTTGTTTAGTAACTTAGTTCTTTTAGTTGTCTTTTGGAAGAATCAATATTCACTAAAGCAATTGAAAGCCATTGGTAGTGCCTTATAAGCTAAGTAAACCACTTTCACGAAGACAGGGCTCTAGAAAGGTTAAGAACATTAAAACGTTCCTATTCCACTTGTATCAGATTTATAATATCAATTTATTATTAATTATCCCTTCCCGATTTGAAAAGGCTCACAATATGTATATATTATATAAAAATACCCGATACAAGGGTTTCGCACTCCCACATTAAAAAAAATTTGGGAGGCACACGGCTCCACACTCGCCGTGAGCGGTGAACGGCAACCAATTAACGCGCTCACCGAAGGGGACGTTAAGTTGAGAACTCGACCCTAGTCCTCAGCAAAATAACTGGCGAACCAGTAAAAGAGGATTTGGCCCCTTGGTAGTGCGTAAGCGCAAACATCGACCGAAGTCGCGCATGTCAATGCGTGTAAATGCAGCCACAGTGAAGGGAATGGGGTCCCACATTATGTGGCTTTCGGCCGCAGCCTTGAGATTCTCCTCAGATCCTTCATCCAGCTACCACCAGCATTAGGTCGACACATATGCTCCACCAACCAATACAACGGCAGATATAGCCAAAAGACTTTTATAAGATAATAGTAATAATTTGCCATCAGAAATGGTTTGTGTCACTGACGTTGAGTATATGAATTTTCCATCATGTTTGTCTCACCCACCAACAAGTTGCCTTCAATCATTCGAAGGTGGAAAAGTTACAGAGAGATATTATTATGTTGTTATATAAAACATCATAGAGGCCAGACAGTCTGCAGCCCCGTAATGAAGAGACCCGACTTGGGCAAAGCTACTTAGGTGTGAGTCAAACCAAGACGCATAGAACGCCTTTGAGAATAGTGACCCACCAAACCACTATCGCAGAGACGCAATGCTGCAAAACGCAACAAGCATCAAAACGACTATCGTCGGGCTTACACAATCCCGAGGTCCCCCATACAATCTTTTTTTATAGGATAGGGTGACAAACGAGCACACAGTCCACCTGATGGTAAGTGGTTGCTGTGGCCTATAGACATCTACATCTATTCTCGATTACGAATCAAAATGCAGATGCGTCGTCACCCGTGAGTACTTAAGTCTTAAGTGGAATGCCTCGTTTCCAGTAAAAATAGTCTCCGGTTCTCTACACTCACCATACGAAACACAGCAGCATTAAGCTACTATTTGACGCTGGTATTCTGTGAGAGCGTGGTCCTTCCCCGTTCGAGCCGACCCATTCGTGCTACAACTATACTACTAATATAACTGCAGCATGGCTCTACTACGTAAAAATGCGGCAGACATGACCACCCGTACACCTCCTGAACCACACAACCTGAACCACAAAATGCATCGAATTAGGTGCAGCACACCCGCAGATCCATCACATGACACAATACCGCAAGCAGCAGTAAGCATCAATGCAAGTATCTTACGAATGGCGCCCCCTCACAACACACCCACATGATCCCTATCGACTTTGGTAACAAAATTTGTCTTGTTGTTAACTAAAAGCAATACCAACGTATCATAGTAGCACGTTACTAAGACGCCAGTGAACAAAACTACTCCACGTATCATAGCGCTAATGCACTAAGACATGAAGTTTAGTATGCTTGTTACACTTAAAAGACCTACCAGACACACTCATTCCAATCTGAAAGATCATACATCTGACGTATCCATGCGCTAAGACGCCGCCGACAAAACGGTATGGATGTGTGATGTCCACGGGCAAGACGTATTGCTACAACAAACTCGCTTAAAACCACCGGCACTAAGACGATATGTCTAGGACACATCGGTTAGCGTATTTCCATTTCCGTGTTCACTAGGAGGCAGTACTGCCTTGAAACAGGCACGGGTTTGTCACTGCCTTTACAAACTCGTGTTCAATTCAAGACTCGTGTCCTCTTGCCTCTTGAATAGGCGTCACAAATCCGTGTTTGTTCGAAAGCATTTTTATGTTTAATGAACCCCGCCATTACCTTCGTGGTTATTTTTTTATAAACCACTCAGAAGTAGGAGCCCAGCGAATCAGGGCTCCGTCCGAGAGAGTTGGGGGAGGGAAGCACCACGCCACTCAACGTAAACGAACGAACGAACTATTAAAAGATAAATTGGTAATATTGTGAATAATTAATACTTTATCTTGTGACAGTGATAAATAGATACAAAGCAAAAATTCGCAACTAATGAAACGGGGATTGAATGTACTAATAAACTATAATCATTCCCACCGAGTCAATGTCGCCCAAGCATTGAGCTTACTGCGTTGTTCCGAAGATACGACAAAACAATTTGAATCGTATTTTGAAGGCTTATTATTGCTTATATTTGACCTTTTAAACAAGAAGTATGTATGTATATATTTTTTAGGTATGCTAATGTCTACTAAATATCTTGGGCCAATTGATATCATGTTTCTATAAATGAACACATCCGAGGGAGAAAATCGAAAGGAATAAATAATATATGAATTCCGATTATTCAACCCGTCTGGGGAGGATAGATTAACACGCGTTTCGGAGGATCCACCCTAGGGTGGCTGTTGTAGGTGGGAAAAACAGAATAACCGAAGTTTTTTATTCGTTTTACTTCTTTAAGATTATTTATTTTAAGGATATTGTAGTTATTTAAAAATTCTAATGTTTACCATGAACTTGTGATATTCCTAAAATGAAGTAATTAAAAACCGGCTTCAGAAGTAAGAGTATCATCGGTTTTACTTTTATTTTAATTTATGTTTTATTCATTCCTTATCTTATACGTAGTTTCAGAAACTTACAAAACCGAATCGGCGAACTCCGAGTCCATGTAGTCTTGTCGATGTACAACCCCAGGAGTATTTTTGAAAAGCATTAGACCGGTGGAAGAGCAGTCCCCCACCTGCCATAACCAGTGGCCGATTAAAAAGCCGAAACTGAGGAAGCGAGCATCTTTCATCTTTACTTTATTATTCCTAACAAGTACCTGCCTGTACTTGTATGTATAAAAAGGGTAAAGAAGCTTTGCAGTTCAAAGCGAATATATAGCGAGCTATACAGGATCAGTTCAATACCAAACTGCTACATGGACTGGTGTCACATAAGGGAACGTCATTCAACCCATAACGCTATCCACTAGCATCGCGAAACGGCAAAGCCGGCCTTGCTCTTTCCCACCGAGACGCAATTCTCTCTGGCATCTTATTAATCTTACCCAGATTGCAGCTGGAACACTTCTTTCTGCCTTAGGCCGGAGTTTGTGTGTACGTAACAGAGAGTATCTGTTCTCGACGCTTCTGTACTCGGTAGTCTTGAAGACCTGTCTATTCTATGGCTACGCATAGACCGCGACGACCATCCCCGTATCTATGGTTGCCTTTATAAGTCTGACAGCGATAATGCCAAAATAGACCGACTCCTCGACCACGTCCAAATAATGACAGATTCCATGCTACAACAGTCCCATCCGCAGAGATCATCCTCCTTGGCAAATACAACGTCCACAACGCCGAATGGCTTGGTTCTTGTACTATGATCATGCTTGGAGATATGTTAACGACTTTGCCTTGGTATATGGTCTGACACACTGGTTACTTCGCTCACGCGGATTCCAGATGTGGAGGATCATGAACATTCCTTGTTGGATCTTCTGCTCAACCGGACCGGCTCTTCGAATCACTGCCTGATTCTCAGTACGATGCCCATCACATTCCCATTGCAGACGCGATATGTGCCTGATTCTCAGTACGATGCCCATCACATTCCCATTGCAGACGCGATATGTGCCTGATTCTCAGTACGATGCCCATCACATTCCCATTGCAGACGCGATATGTGCCTGATTCTCAGTACGATGCCCATCACATTCCCTTTGCAGACGCGATATGTGCCCGATTCTCACTACGATGCCCATCACATTCCCATTGCAGACGCGATATGTGCCTGATTTTCAGTACGATGCCCATCACATTCCCATTGCAGACGCGATATGTGCCTGATTCTCACTACGATGCCCATCACATTCCCATTGCAGACGCGATATGTGCCTGATTCTCACTACGATGCCCATCACATTCCCATTGCAGACGCGATATGTGCCTGATTCTCACTACGATGCCCATCACATTCCCATTGCAGACGCGATATGTGCCTGATTCTCA